GAGAGAGAGAGAGAGAGAGAGAGAGAGAGAGAGAAAGACAGAGAGAGAGACAGAGAGAGACAGAGAGAGAGAGAAGCACATACACACACAGAAACATACAAACACACACACACACACACACACACACACACACACACACACACACACGGCGCGCGCGCGCGCTCGCTAGGATTCAACTTCGCTAAAATCACAATAGTGACAATGCCAATGCCAATGCCAATGCCAATGCCAATGCCAATGCCAATGACAGTCTAAAAACTAAAACAATGACAGAACAATGACAGTAACAGTGACAATGACAATGACAGTGAGAATGACAATGATAGTGACTATGCCAATGACAGTGACAATGACAGTACAAAGACAGTGCCAGTTACAGTATCAATGACAATGACAATGACAATGACAGTGACAATGACGGTAGAGTAACAATGATAATGACAATGACAATGCTAATACCAATGCCAATGACAATGGCAGTGATAATGACAGTGACAATGCCAGTGACAGTACAATGACAGTGATAGTTACAGTGACAATGACAATGACAGTAACAATAACAATGACAAGAACAATGACAGGATAATGACAGGACAATGGCGGTGACAGTGGCTATGATTGTGACAATGACACAAACAATGACAACAACAATAACAATACAAAGACAGTGACAATGACAACAACAGTGACAACGAATATGGCAGTGACAATACAAAAACAATGACAATGACACTGCCAATGACAGTACAATGATAGTGACAATAACATTGACAAAGCCAATCTTCATCCATCACACACAACCCACCTATCCCAGGCACGTCGTAGTATCTGCAGTCGGCCGTTGGTCTCTGCTCCATGTACAGATCACACAGGGAGTACTCGTTCCACAGACAGCAGTAGTAGAAGGTGATGACGTCATGCTTCCAGTGGGACATGGACGGCACCCGGTCAGGGAGGCTGAAGGGTGGCGCGCCCCAGTTGTGGCTCCGATCTGGTGTGCTGCCCTAGCGTACACCGCGCATCCATTCAATCATTTATTTAGTTAGCTATTCATTCAGTTTTCTATATATTCATTGATTTATGTATTATTCATTCATTATGTATTCATTCATTCATTCATTTACTCATTTATGTATTTATTCATTCATTCAATTAATTAATTAATTATTTAATTAATTAATTAATTCCTTTTTTCACTTATTTATTGAAACTTTACGGTTAAAGTTTTTAGTTTAACTTTAAGAAAGAAAATGTTTTCAAAGAGAATTATATAGAATCTAGTCATCTTAAGAAAGTAATACATACTTTCAATAGAATTTTGAAAGAACTCGGCTCCACCTCAACGAAACAATCATGTGATACATCACCCTGGCACATAGATTGAGGTACTTTATATATACTCAATAAAAAAAATCCCCCCTCTCCCCTCAAATAAAAGAAAAAAAAAGAAGAAAAAAACCTGTTTTCATGTTCATTTCCCTGTGTGTGAGCTTGTGTGTGAGAGTGTATGTGTGTGTATTTTCTACTACAATGACACGTTCCAAGATGCACATCGTTCACTTTTCTTTGACAATCATGTTTCTCCTCGATAATGAACAACCTTCTTGGACAATTTAAATTGTGAACCAAAGCAAACAAACAAAAGCAAACAAACAGACAAGCAAACTGTAGTAGTGAGCAGAGAATGAGTGTACCTGATAAGAAAGCTGTGAGTACCTCAGTGTCCCGTCCTGGTTGTAACAGCACTGGTTGCCCGACCCATCAGGGCCTCTGTGAGATGATGGAGAAAAGAAACATGGGGTAAGTTGGCCGCTCTCCTTCTCTCTGTTCTCTCTTTCTCTTTCAGAGCTCAAAGTGTGTGTGTGCGTGTGTGTGTGTGTGTGTGTGTGTGTGTGTGAGAGAGAGAGAGAGAGAGAGTGTGTGTGAGAGAGAGAGAGAGAGAGAGAGAGAGAGAGAGAGAGAGAGAGAGAGAGAGGCGAGAGAGAAGCGAATCACCAATAAGTAATGATTGGATCATTTCAGCGCCATAGAGTCCTCACTAGAAGTACTACTTCAACAACAACAAAAATAAAAAAACGAAATAACAACAATTTAAAAAATCAAAAACAAGATTTTAAAAAAAAACCCCCCCCCCTTTTTTACCCCCCCCCCCATCCCCCCCCCCATCCCCCCCCCCGAAAAGTGTGGGCGGAAAGGGGGGGGGGGGGCTTAACGCTATTTGAACATATCCGCCCACTTTCAAAATTTCAAATAAAGAAAAGACAACTCACACAGGCACTATGGAGCGTACGCAGTGCTTGGCTCCCTTGTGGTAAAAACATTTACTGCCCGTGAACAAGTTACACCCAGGGTCTGCCTGGAACCGGCCAAAGTCCGCCAAGGCCTGGTCCAGGCTGCAGGGGCAGGGCAAGAGGTCCTGTAGCCAAGCCTCCTGGGTGGAGTCTCGGGCATTCCACTCTCTGCACTTGTCGTCTGACCAATCAGGGCCGCGGACTGAGGTCAGTTGCTCGTTCACGTACCAGCCCAGGGGGATCGGTCCGTACCGCACAGCTCTGAAAATGGTGAAATGGTACAGGTTTTAGGTTCAACACGCACTGGTCAAAGTTTTCAATTGCTTGTCAAATTGGACACAACAAGGGAGGGGTCTATTCGTAGTGTGCACTGGGTCTGTGAACAGACACTTAACTAACAAGGCGCTACCTTAGGATTACAAAGTTTTTTTTCCTGCTCAGCACTTATTTTTGAGGAATTTGGCGTTAAAATAAGGTTGTTTCACATGTGATGCTTTTCGAATGCAATCTTGATAAAGACTCTAAATAATCTTTTGATTTTGACAGAGCAGATAGAACTTTTAATTTGGTTTCTTTTTTAGTTTTAGTAAGAGTTTTACGGTGCTCACAACTGCATAGGGTCATATGAGCGCGCACTTTGGTGTCTGACCTCATGGTCTTAATAGCTCAAAACGGCCAAAATGTCAGGTAGAGCCTTGTAATTCTGAGGTAGCGAAGGGGTTGTGGCCTACACTCTGTCGTTGGCCAGTCCTTGCTGACCGTCCAGCAGCGAGACCTCCAGGAGACCTTCTTCGTACAGCTCACAGTCGGAGGTACATCTGTGGCTGGACACGTCAAAGGTGAAGGACGCCGCCTGGTTCCTGCTGCTGCCCAGCTCACGAAGCACGCTGTACATGACCTGGGACAACGAGTTGATGGCGTAACTGGTTACACCTAAGTTTGTTATAATAGATGGAAGTGTAATACAAGGGATGTCCCAGACATAACCAAAACAGCGGGTGGTTGGAGGGCGCTACTTGTAGGTCCTACTTCATTACTTTCACTCTGTTGTTTCTGTCTGTCTGTCTTATTTTCTCCTGGCACTAAATTTAATGACCATCATAGTGTCGATGTGCTTCTCTTTACTCAAACAAACAAATAAACCATACATAACCGGAAAATGACCACATTTTGATAACTGTCTAGTTTTTGTCGATTCTATAATATAAAGTATTGAGTAGTTCTGGGAGATCTCGGTTTAGATGAACCATTGATATTAACAAAATCTATACAACCATTATTCTGCACCACAGCTATAAAGGTAACTTCTGTGCAATAGTGGCCAAAAGAAGGGAGTAGTCCTATAATTTTTGTGAATACACAATGAAAAGTAGAATGTGCGCATACGTTTGCAAGTGCAAAGGGTGAGATGGGTTGTTGTTTTTTTGTTGTTGTTTTTTTTTTGGGGGGGGGGGGCGGAGACAAAGATGAAGATGGTTTTGCAGCGTGGGTTCGTGAAAATGTACACAGGAAGGACTGACTGACGAATAGAGAGGTTGTTAAAGTAATTGGAAAAGATATATGGATGGTGAGAGATGGAGAGAGGGCAAGAGAGATGAAGAGAGAGAGAGAAAGAGAGAGAGAGAGAGAGAGAGAGAGAGAGAGAGAGAGAGAGACAGACAGACAGACAGACAGACAGACAG